AAACAAAAGCTTTACCTTACTCTGCTAGTTTCACACAAGCGATAGCGAACTCGATCCTCAGTCGAATTCTTTTACAAAATATCACTGTGAGCTTCAAAATATTATTGCTTTTTAATTATTTTTCATTCTATTCATGTACTATGGTTTTTAGTGTGCTGATTCTTATTTTCCTGCAAGACGGTACTTTAGTGCATGATTTAATGGTATGCAAATAGTGATGGACTGTCGCCAATAGCGCGATAAACAGTGTAATCTGGACATCCTGCAAATTATGTTAATTTTGGGACTCGCATTGTTTTTCTCACTCCTTGAGGAAAGGACAGTGATATGACACTCTCAACTATATAACTCCCTTTTTTAAGAATTACAGATTCAGTTCCGATTCTGCTCTCGCTTCAAGAGCCATAATGAGCGTATCGTAAGAACTAGGCATTAAACAAAGCAAAAGTGCTGAAACCTGTTCGTCTTTTATGTCCTCCCTTATTGATTTGAGTTTATCGAACTAACTCCAGTAATGTATTTATATGTGTTTGCATATTTCCATCTTCCTCAAGCTTCAAACTGTAAAGCTTCGCAAAAGGGAAAGATTCGCAAAAGAAAAGATAGTTTACTTGAGAGGTTAGACCTTTCATGTACCTACCTGAGTTTTTCTCATGGAGGCTTTAGAAGTAGTTTAATGTTTAATGTGGATTATTTGGCTGTCTTCGATAAATAAATTTATCATCTCGCGACATTGCCGATCCCGTTTCAGCACTTTTGCTTTGTTCAACGCCTAGTTCTTATGATACGCTCATTATGGCTCTTGAAGCGAGAGCAGAATCGGAACTGAATACAGAATTCCTAAAAGGGAGTTATATAATAGAAAGTGTCATATAATAATCAACCGAATCTGTACTCTTTACAATTTCCTTTTAAAAATTGTAAATATCTTAATAGCAGCTAAATTCACGTTTAAATTTTGTCGCTGCATTATAAGGTCTGTAGTGGCAAAGCAAGTGTGCATTCTTTAATTTCATGATATTTTTAATAACTTTAATATACATACTGCATTTCCCGATTCTTGTAAATTAATAAACCACCTAACCGTGCAAATATTTAAGGTAGTGATGCAGTGTATCTAGGGTAACTTCCTAAATATTGTGCTGTAGTAGCTCGTTTTAAAAATGTTAAAAGCATAAAATATTTTCCCTATCTTTTCTTTTCTGAATATGCCCAGGGATGCTGATTCTCTGTACACAAGAACTGCTCATGCCATGAAAATTTCAACTACCATGACGAATCCATCTGCCATGTAGAATTTAATTGTTATATAATTGCTTTTTTCATCGAAATATTTCCGTTTAGCGGATTCTCACGAACTTTATGTTTCGAAGTAATGTTACACATGTGAGTATATGGTAGCAAAGGTCTTCGGGCCGATGACTTCGCTACATAACCGATGATATATCAATCTACCAAAAAGGTATTTTTTTTCCCAGAGAAAGCAAAACAATTAATTAAATAAAAAAATTCGCTCTTAAAACAAAAACCATACAACATTAAGATATTTTTAGATAATTTTTCTCCAAAGGACAATATTATCATTGATATTATAAAAGACATTTTTAAGTACAAATTTTATGTGATATAAAATAAAGCCTTACTAATTACGGCAAAGTTTACTCCATCCATCAAATTAAATGAAACTCATCAAAATTATTAAACAAAAAGAAGTATTTCCGAATCAATAGTTTAAACACTAAAATTTACATTAAACGTAACAAAAAATTAGTGAGATTCTTACTAATCGCGATAATAAACAGAAATTGACACTCCCAGCTTTTATCAAAATATTAATTACAAAAGATATATTTATATATATCCTAAAGTATATTATCATAGCTGTTCTCAGTATTATAGAAAATAAGCAAATGAAAGGACTCACAAAACTGCGAAGTAAAATTAGAGGTAATTATAACCTTAAAATTTAAAAATATCTTGGTAAATTTAAATTCAACTTAAATCAATTTATATAACAACCAGTTATAAACACATCCTTCTACTTAATGCTCTTGAAGAATGAAGAGTTTATCAAAACATCAAATTAAACTTTAGTATAGGTTAATTTATCAAAACAAAATCTAATTTCAGGGAAGTCAGAAAACTCAGATATAAACTTATCAAATATAAACGAAGTTTAGTGTTATTTGAAAGAAATTGTATTAAAAAATTATATAAAAAGTATTAAAATTCGAAATTATATACAAAAATAACTCTTATCTGATGAAAACATCATTATCAAAAATCTCAAATTTTACAAAAAAAAAATTTGAAGTTCTGCGCAAACTTCATTGCAATGCCCAAATTTTACAAAAATTTAATTGGTTTCAAATTCATTGCTAATAGACTTAAGCTCTTAAAGCAGTTGATTGAAGCTTTGCCAATATTCTCGGCCTGTTAAAAATGACATTAATAAAACTATGTTTGATTATTGATTTATTTATAATAAAAAATATATCATACAAGCCATTCTAGAAATTCCGATTTTTAATACTTACTCTTACGACATTGAATATACACCTTTTTATCATTAAATGACAGTAATGTTAGTCTCTTTGAACTTCATAATTTATTCCTAGTAATTAATAAAATTGTTAAATTAAGAACTTGGGCAACCTACCTCAGTTGACAGTATATCATCATTTGGTTAAATTTCTTGCAGCAAGTTAATGGTATTTCTATTGAGAGAATCTACAAATTTGTGTAACATTTTTCATTTTGTTAAATAGTTTAACTTGATAATCTTAATGTTCTTGACCTGTTTAAATTAACTTTCAGATATATTGATGAAAAAATCGCCATTAAAATTTTAATGAAATTGAAAAGCAGCAAATTTAGCCTAAGCGCTTTAATCTAAATAAACGTTAAGGAAACAGAAGGAGAGTGTTTATACACTTTAACCAAATTAAAATATTTGAAAGAAGATTACTTAATTTCAAATTCATTCACCATCTATTACAACTTACATTTGGAAGAACAAAATTTATTGGTCAAATAAGTTTGTCAATTATCAAATCATCATTATATAAAAAACGTTTCATTATCATATATCAAATCATCATTATATAAAAAAAGTTTCATTATCATATATCAAATCATCATTATATAAAAAACGTTTCATTATCATATATCAAATCATTCATTATTATACAGTCAAAAGTCGTTAATCCGGACACCCATAATTCGGAATGATCTATAATCCGGACCTCAAAGCTAAAAACTTTCTGCGCATGCGCCGCGTTGACACATGCGCATAGGCGTTTACGCGTGCGAGTAAGACCTCTTACGACTGCGCATTTGCGTGTGCGCAAGCGCAGAATACGTTTTTGCGTGCACGTTTTATGTATAACGGACGGTATAAGCTAAAATTATCTAATTATCTAAATCAGTTAATGTTGATGATTGCGTTGTTCCTTAATTTTCGAATTGGATCCGGCTTATTATTTTTTGCAGACTGTAAGATCAATACTATAAAAGTAAACTTGAACTTTCGATTATGTCAAATAGAATTTTAGATTCTGTAGCTCCCAAAAGGATCGTTTTGTTTGATGGGCACCGAAGTATGTTTCGATGCCCATCAAACAAAAAGTGGAATTGCTGCAAAAAATGTATAAAGACATGAAGAATGTGACAGAGAGGTTAATGAAAACGAAAAAATTTCGATTGACAAGTTAGTCGGTATTCTCGGCACAGCAATTAACGGGACTTGAACAGCGGAACTTTGTAACTGAACAAAAAATTATGTCTGTTTATAGAATTAAAGAGAAAGTATTATCACATAAAACGAAGCAACTTAAACAACTTACATTGAAAGAAATGTTTAATAAAGTAAACAAATAAATATTAAGCTTTTTTTTTTTTTTTTTTTTGTAATTTTGATACCCTTTAGATCATAATTGTTCTTTAATTCATAAATTACGGTTTCATATTTTTAATTTTATAATTTCTGCATGCCATCTTACGATATTTAAACTGATGATCTATAATCCGGAAAAATCGATAGTCCCGACGAGTCCGGATTAATGACTTTTGACTGTATATCATAGCAATATGGTTTCATTATCAAATCATCATTATTGAAAATATTTTCATTATAAATAGGCTCTATACGGATATTGTATATATCCGTGGACCAATCTACATATTTCTGCATATAAAACAAACTTTCGTATTATTCTTTATTTTCATGCGCTTTTAATATATCAATCACATTTTGTATCCTAATTTTACATGGAATGTAACTCTTTGTTAAACTTATTGCATCATTATCTAGCACATTTTCTAGCCTTTAATTTGAATTTTGTTTTCGGTATTCTGATTAACGTTAGATGATCACAATTTTCATTTTCATTTTTAAGAAAAATTTGCTTATTTTATGACGGTTTATCAGACTTCATATGATTTATGATTTAGACAAATTTTACTTAAAATAGAATTTTCAGCATTTAGTAGCTTTTAGCTGCTGTTAGGAAGCGATTTAAACTTACATTTGCTAAACCTATCCAAAATAACTGATTCGGTGTATACTTTAATCCAGGCAACTTTGGCTCTATTCCTTTATCTCTCACCCACGACTGGTAGGCCTGTAGGGAAAAAAGGAATACATTTAATTAAATGCCCCCTTCAAATCAAAATTAATTAACTAACTTTCATAGGAAAATAGTATCCAAATATAAATTTTGTATCAAGACAACAAGAAAATGTTTTTACAGTGTTTTATTAATTAATTTTAAAGAAATTCTATCACTTTCTATTAATAAAAGTGTATTTTTTTTAATTAAAATTTTCTTATTTGTAACTGTTATAAAATCCATGTACATTTGAGTCAAGAGAAACATTCAAGAAATGCATAAAAACACAACTTCAGAATTAGCCTTTTATTTAAACTTAAATAAAAGCCTTTTTATTTGTTCTTTAAACCACTGAAATTCTTTGACTCAAATGAATCTTATTGTTAACAGTTTAGTTCTGTTTCCTAAATGCAAAGTTTTATTTTCTACGTGAACATTTTCTGGATTTACTGTTTGTTCACCTGACTGATATGGAACCTTTCCAATTGATTTAATTTTGTTTTGCAACTTTACTTTAACTGGTATTATTTTTTCGTTCTATTCATTTACTGTGTTAATTTCATCCTTAATTTCTTGTTCTTCTTTCAACAATTCATCAGTGTCACTATTTAGTATGTTAATAATTTCAATTTTACTATTCAACTGTTCTAAATATGAATCACTACATCTATGTCAATATCTGATTCATTCAAATATCTGTTTATTTTTTCTACTAACTTTAAAGTTTGTTCACGATGTGTGTCACGCTTAGTTCGAAGCTTTAACAATTTAGCCATTTTCACAATTTCTAGCAACAAATTTTACCCCTCAAATACTTTAACAATAAATTCTAATTCTAGAATTCTAAGAAAACAAACTGTAATTTTCAACAACAAATCACACTTCAAAGCATTAACAACAAACTCTAATTCTAAGAAAACACAGCATTTTCTTACTTGCAAATACATTCAGTAAATGCGATCGAAACCTAAAGTTGTAAATTTTTACCAAACAAGATCAACGGCATCAAACAACTTTACCACTTCAACAATTACAAAATATTCTATTCAAACAAATTTTCAACTAGATTTGATAGTAGAAAAGGAGGCAGCTATCGTAAGGGTTACTAGGCTGTGGTCATAGTTATCACCACTCGGACTACGAGGAGCAAAACAACTGCAATAACTTTCATCCAGCAGCTTTTAATCTCTCTGACGGTATCAGTATAGACGACCAACCAATTCAGAGGTACAGTAATAACCTTTTCACAGATGGCTCCAAAACTGAGAACGGCACGGGCAGCGCCTTCTGTAGACTAGAAAATGGAGTTGTAACATTCGAGTGGAAAAGGAAATTAGGCTCGAACAACTCGGTATACCAAGCAGAGCTTCTAGCTATCAGTGCTGCAATTAGATATGCGAACACATGTCAACAGGAGAAATTCTCCATACTCAGTGATTTGGCATCAAGTCTGGCAGCTATCGCAAGTCAAAACAGCCGGAGTCCATTGGTATACAGAATTCAGAAACAGCTTCTGACAATGCCTATTTCGCAAAGACCCACTTTAAAATGGGCTCCCGCTCACACAGGGATTCAAGGCAATGAAGCCGCTGACCTACTGGCCAAGCAGGCAGCCAACTGCACGGATATATTAGAAAGACCAACTAAACTTCCTTGGTCTCATATTAAGCGAACAACTTTGACAAGTCTGCTACAAAATTGGCAAAGTAGATGGACAGAGGCAGAGGTAGGACGAAGGACATTTCGCTTACTGCCAAAAGTTAACATGGAAATAAAGACCCACTGTGCTAGCCTAACACAGTTCTTGACAGGTCATGGACCATTCCCAGTATACCTGAACAGATTCAGACTTAGGGATACTCCTTTCTGCGAATGCGGAGAGGAAGGCGACACGGACCATTATTACTTCCATTGGTACATACAAGAACCTGGCACTTGAAGAAACCAGCGGACTGTGCCTGGGCAATGTGGACGACTAACAGACTCAAAAACAGAATAGCCCTTGACAAAATAGAGAAATCTCAGGACACTGCCTAAGCGAAACAACCGTGGATAATATTATAATGTTTCAAAAGTTCAGAACTTAAAGCAGATAACCAGAATAACGCTTAGTGCCTTGCAGTTAACAATATGTAAAAACTGTTATTAGTTTATAATATTCAACCTTGTTACTCTGGAGTCTTCCCCGCCGTGATGGTATATAATTCCGTTTGGTTCATGTCCGTGGTCGGAAGCCATCATAGCGGTGCACTGACTCACTCACTCACCCAACCATTACGATAATTCCCGGCGACAGCACCACATATTACGAAGCGATTAACGATACGAATGCGAAGTTCGAAAGGCGAGTAATAACTTGACGATTCCTTTTCGAACGCTATTTTTATTTCGACGAGTTTGCATCAGTTTGCGCCCTCTATACTATGAAAAGTACGAACAGTCAGGAGCAGCTGCAAAATTCCTCTATGGAAGTGACGTATTTTAGGCGTGTCCGAAAAGCGTTACACTTGAATCCGATTTTGCAATGCAAGCGCGATTACCATGACAAGCGTTGCACTTGAATTCGCCCCTAAATTTACATATTTTGTACAGTACTTTCTTGTTACAATGCTGTTCAATACGTTTGTAAATTTAACAACATTCTTTGCAATTACTGTGTGAGAGATTTCTTAGTTATGCTCTCTAATAAGAATGTTTTTAAAATTAAGTATTATGTATAACAACTAGCAATTAAAAAAACTTGACTGCATTGAAACTACTGTTGCTGTGTAAAATAAAAAATAAGTTTTCTTTTATGCTTTGAAATGAATTACATGTGGTTAAGTCGTCCTTTTACAATTTAAGAATATGGTTAACACACATTCTTAAATTGTAAAAGGACAGGTTTTTATTTAAATTATTAATATAAAATATATAAACTATGAATTATTTTGTAACATGACTCAAATTCCTCCCCCCCCCCTTTTTTTTTTTTTTTTTTTTTTTTTGATTCGGAATTTATCGGCCCAATTCGGAATTTAAATTTCCTAAAATAATATTAGCTATTTTCTTACCAAATAAGCTGTTTTCAGTCCTGCTGTGTCCGCTATATTTTCTGCTTGCGTCTAAACGCCGTTTAGCTGAGAAAGAAAATATTTATAAATGTATATATATATATATATATAAGGTATAAAAACAGGAAGAAAGAATATCTTAACAAATTAAAACTTTATTGCAACACATTGACTGTAGACCTTTCAATTACCAATTTTTAAATGAAGTTAAACACATTCCAGACATCTGCGTTGTCCCTGCAGCGTCCGCATTGATTTAAACTTTTGCTCAGTCGGGCTATCCGGTATTAATTTAAAGACTTTCAATGTTTATAAAGGTATCGCAACTTACTGCGCATTTTCTTTCGCCACTTTCCTGGTGCAATGTCTCGTTAATTCCTGCTAGTTATTCTTCGCTATTTGGAATGTAATTATATATATAAATTTGTGGGGTGAGTTTAACACCCCTATTGTTCAACAAATTAAGACGATAATGTGCTAATAAATTCGTCATCCAGAAATTCCCTCTTCAATTCTACCTCGTATGGAGAACTCTCATTTTCGGACTTCATCATATGTCGGGATTCTTTGAGGATACTTGCAAGAGCAGGAACGAATCATCCTGCTGAATGCCATAAAGAACACCAAAGTATCAAGTATCATCCAGAAATAAATGATGCTTAACTACAAAGTTGGTCCGGCTTCTTCCGAACTTCCATCCGGTCATCCACTACACCGCTGTTTCCAGCCAGCTACACAGCAGTTTTCTCTGTCATGACTGAAAGGTGAATCCGTGGTTTTCCTAAAAAGCTGTCATCTAATATCAATGTATCTGCATCAGACTACATTATCACACACACACACACACACATATATATATATATATATATATTCAAAGGCTCTTTTAATTATACGTAATGACACAATCAGATAAGAAGTAAATATTTCTGAGGTAAAGATGTCTTCTAGAATATTTCCCGTGCTCGCTTTTTTTCCTTGAAATACATACAGAGCCCTACACTACAAAATGTCTGTTTTGCCATCAGGTTTCAACAATTCCATTACTTCTGGTAAATATGCAAATGCAATTACCTAGAATTATTTAATTAAACATGCAATAAAGTAATAAAAAGGATAAGTGGTTTTAGCAAACTGTTCTTCCAAAACCAAGAATGTTTTATTAGTCTTCATGAAGAACTGTTAAATCTCTGGTATTAAACACAATTTCGCTTCAGAGCTCTGAATGGAAGTTAATGTCTTTTACTGAAGAGTCATTTGAAGTCCCATGCATATTTTGTAGATATCTAAAAGATATTTTAAAAACGATATTCAAATTTTAAAAAATACTGTAATTTACATAAAACTTCTCAACATATCATTTTCTTACATAGTGAGTATATGAAAAGCACCTGAGTGTAATCGTGCGAGCCCCTAATTCATCACAACAAACCCCTCGTACTTTTGAAAAGATCTAGCGGAGATGTTCTGAGGATAAACTAGCATGCGACATTAAGCACTCGCAAGGATATGTTTAGGAGATTAAGAGGATATTCTGAGGATGCGATAAGCAGAATTTTAACTCCTCATAGTGTCACTTAAACTGTCGGCGGGACGTAGCGAAGATATACTGGGATGTGATATAGGCACCCGAGAGAATTATTTATTAGGTTAATGAAATATTCCGGTATGTAAGACTTTAATATCCTGTGCTCTGTCAAAGGAATCTAGCGAATATTTTCTAAGGACATGCTGGTACATGAGTTAAGCACTCAAGTGTATGTGCTTAGGAGGTTAGGAGGATATTCTGGAGTGCCCTGAGGATATGTGTTTACGAAGTGGGAACATCTTCAGGATTTCTTCAAGACATTTTTGTTCTATGTGAGAGAATTTACAATAAACTCTCCAAACTCTATGATCACCTCCAAACTTCATGATAATTTTATTATGCGATAAGTAAATTAGCTCTTTTAATTTTTAAGTTATTTAAGTAATTATTTTCCGATGAAGATTGTTTTGCCCAAATGCCACATACAAGTATAATGAAATTATTTCAAACGATACATAAAGTTATTTTAGCAATGAGATTATAAAGTATTTTTATGCCAAAGAAGAGGTAAGTTATTTGGATAAGACAAAGCAAACTAGAGCTATCTAACGAACGGAAGGAAGATCTTCGTAAAGGGACCTCAGGGGAAATGAGCTCTTATTAAAACTACTCATGAAAATAAAATTATGGAAGTCATCTATGGAGTCAGCTCGAGCCCGGGTCAAATTATCATAGCCTCTTACTTTAAACAGAGGAACTTAGAGGTTTATTCTTTTTCTGCCGAACAATCTGACTCGTAACTATGAGAACCCTAAGCTGCCGGAAGAAGGCTAAGAAATTTAATTTTTTCCCAAAACTTAATGCAGTGGCATTTAAGTTTAGCGTGACTTGAACTACAGTCTCAAATAAGATGGAGAAAATAAATGCTGTGCAGTGATTACGACCGCGAATGAGAAGGGATGGCGAAAACCTTGAAATCCCTATTAAAGTAACAGACTACAACATACTACAATGGTCCTAACCACTCAGTCACTGATAGCGGCTGACAATGAGAAAGAAGTCATTTAACCAAACAATAAATTTATTCGTTCAATTTGCTTTTATTGTATTGCAATACTCGCAAAAAATGACTAGAAATAAGAGCAACAAACTTTGTAATCTTCTTTTAATACTCTTTCTTCCTATCTGCCAAACTAACGGTCTTTTGCCACCTATTCTCCTTCCACGCCCAAGAGGGCAGCAGTCAATCAACGTTACTAACTTCACGTTACTAAAATTTGAAGAAGGCAAGAATTTTGGAAAGGTATTAAGAACTCATGCTCAGTCCGAAGCTTCTAATCCAATACATTGTTAAAAGTTGGTGTGTGGTATAAAAATTGAGGCGACTGAATATTTCCTTCCTGTTTATAATATATTTAATGCTAAGGGACTTCGGCATTATAATTCATGTAAACGTAGTCATGATAAATACCTTGGTTATTAAATCTTATTTAGTACTTAATTTAATTTGTCGTTTTTCATAGTTGTGTTTTTAAGTGTTGGTTTTAAAAATATAGTCTCATATACAAATTCAAGGACTATTGTTGGCCAGCAGTTTATTTCAGATGAAAGTGAAGAGTAACAAAATACAAAAATTATGCATTTTAAATCAGAAATAAATTGCTTCCAGTTTTCTTCACATGAAGGAACTGTAACCCGAGTGCCAAGCGTTTATGTTCCATTAACCGCCCAATCCAAAAGGGCAAGATTAAAGTGGTGTCACAGCATCTCAACTGGATTGTCTCAGATACGCTCAATGTTCTGCTCACGGGCGAGTCCAGATTTTCCCTGCAATCTGGTGATACGCACGAAAGGGTTTAGAGGAACAAGGAATCAGGTCCAAAAAATCATCGAACATCCCAAAATCATAGGCGGCAGTATCATCGCATGGAATGGAGTTTCAATGGGGTATCACATTGGGCTCCGCATTTTTAAAAACGGTTTGGTGATGGCTACGCGGTGCTGGGATCACGCCCTATATACCATCATTAAATTCTGCACTGCAGTACTTTATTATCTCTCCCTTATGCATGGTGATGTCCGTTCCCACCCAGCAATATGTTAATGAGTATCAGAAAAATGCAGCATTTCTCGTATGGAGTAACTGCCACATTTCCCCTTCCTTGTGTGCTCATATACCTTCATATGTCACATCGATCTGGTGGAAGATACACTTGCTCAAACGACCTTTCCAAGTCAGATACATGCATGTTTCGAATGCAGTTGTAATCTGTGTCTCTGGGGTCCTTTAAAAAAGAAAATTAAACATCATTTTGAATAGTGCCGATCTTCAAAATAAATATTTCTTTCAAATCAGCTTGTGAATCCATGCCTTTCAGTGCATACGCTGAACTAGGTGTCAGTTAGACCATTGTACATTTAGACATGATTTGAAACTTTAGAGCAAATTGCTGCGAACAAACGTCTTATTCAAACATACATCAGAAATCACACCTGAATGCAATCTTATGCTACTTCATATTACGTCTTTATATAATCGTGCATGAAAAATTCTATTAAAACATTACACGAAAAATTGCCTGTGATAAGATATCGATCGAGCATAGTGTCGGGAGTGAGCTCTGTATCAATGAGTAGGCTGTTTTCAGGTAAAAAGTAATACAAAATATCTTATAGTTTGAGAAATTGAATCTTTGGATATTTGCATATTACGCAGTGCGACCAACTGCACTTGCAACTGTCTATACATCACATATCATAACTTTAATAGCTTATCTCAAGATTATAAAATGCAAATCGCTGCCTATGTTGAAGGAAAGTTCCTTTAAATTGGTATCCATTTTTAAAGCTGAAATGTGTAACACTCAGCACAAATCCTTCTAGTTCAATCGTCTCTTGAATGAAATCACCAGTCAATACCGATACTAGTTTTATTTGAGAAAATCGTAAGGTTTTTCGTATGAGGTTCCAGTATAAGCAAGGTAAAATTCTTACTGAAACTGACATAAAAGATGTATTAAAGTATCGAATGCATCACTCGTTAACGAATCATTCGTTAACGAATACCTCCATTTGTTAAAGAGTGATGCACTCGATATTTATATATCCTCCAACCAGAAAAATAGGTTTTTCCTTTGCTTGATGTCATGAATTCAATATGTCTTCCTACCATAGTAACTTCTCTCTCTATTCAGTAAAGAAAAAATAAACTAATATTTATTTCGCTTTCAAATTTCAAATCAAAAAATTAATTTCAAAAAAATTAGTCAAGAATCACAAGATCTGATAAAAAATTGAAAAGCTGTTAAAGTTTCTTTCTGTATCAAACCTACCATTAATCAAATGTCTTTTGCACTTAGTTTTAAATGGGTCTTTTAAGAAATTTGGACTTTTGTTTTTCCGCCATTTCCGGTTGATTTTCTCATTTCGAGGCGAAAGTAAATTTTTTTTGCGCTTTCTTCCCTTCAGATTTCTCCCTGGAAATTCAACTAAAGACTATTCTATCTGGAAGCCCTACGTAAGAAAATCATCAGATAGCTGGAAAGAGCTGTGCTGTTTTTGCAGCTGAATGGCGTGGAGCAATTACGCATTCAACTATCTTCATAAAAGTTTTCTTCATTTGATGAATCTAACATTTTCAAAAGTAAAGCTTCATTATCTAATAAGATACTTTCATATATCAATAAACAAAACCAGTTCTTTTAGCGTGTGTCTCATTCTAAAATTGCACATACTGAGCCACTTCATTAATACGTCCTTGCACTGCATGAATGCTCAAGCGAATTGTCCTCATTATACCAACAGAAATTACTCCTAGATATTTACCTACTGCAATTGCACTGCATCAAGCTATTAATTAAAATTCTTTAAGAAATTGAAGGAATCAGTTTTTTAATGAAATAAAATTTGTATTGAAGTGTTGTTTAAAAGTGCTTACGCAATAAAATTCTTCTAGGGCATTTTTATTGCTCACGTACTCCTCTACAATCCCTAATGGTCCTTGTATATGGAGCTCCTCAGCTCCTCAGCGCTCCCATAGCTCCCATAGCTCCTCAGCGCTCCTAGGAAAGAGGAAGGATAATACCTACGTTTGGAAACACTGAAGTAAAATGACAAACTTTGAGATTAAAGGTTTGATTGATAAGCGAGATACGTTAAAAAATTACGCGAAACTTTGCTGCTATGTGATAAAAAACTAAATAGCATTTTGAAAATTGACTACGAGTTTAAGAGCAATATCTCTAGGAAACTTTGCCCTTCAGGCTTTTCGATTTATACACTATCTGAGATATACGCCCAGATATATTCTTCCTTTTATTATTGCAGATAAAAATATTATAATTTAATTTATATTGCCGTCATTTTGGCAAATTAATTGCGCTTAATGTATTTATTGCTATGATGGAGAGTTCGTAAAATTATCTTCCACATATTATTAGGCAGATAACCTTAGTGTGCTTTGCCACAACCGACTAAATATTTTTAATTTAGTTCACAAACATATATGTACACACAGACAGAACGTGACTACTGAGATGGAATCTTATTTACCTGCATTCCAATTCCATAATCTGTTGTGTAATTACTATATTGGTTTATGATACATTCGGCTTTCTTTCTGAAAATTTGTCTGCGTCTGTGCTCCACCAGTTGTTCCTATTACCATTTTTATCAAAATGTCGACCTATCATATTAAAAAATGCAGAAAATTAAATTTTCATTTAACATAACCTTGGAAAGAGCTTAGTTTAAACACGAAAAGCACGTTATACCGGGTGATCAAAAAGTCAGTATAAATTTGAAAACTTAATAAATCACGGAATAAGATAGAGAGGTAAAAATTGACACACATACTTAGAATGACATGGGGTTTTATTAGAGCCAAAAAAAAGTTTAAAAAATGTACTATTATCGGGCCTTTTTTCTTCGAGGAAATGCGTGATTCTGGTTTTGTAACTGCTACCGTGACGGGTGAGAGGTACGCCGATATGTTACAGAATCGCATCGTCCCCAGCCTGGCTGATAAACACCTGCTGGAACGTAAGATTTTTATGCAGGATGGCGCTCCACCCCATATTGCTAGACGCGTGAAAGATCTCTTGCGCGCGTCGTTTGGTGATGATCGTGTGCTCAGGCGCCACTTTCGTCATGCTTGGCCTCCCAGGTCCCCAGACCTCAGTCTGTGCGATTATTGGCTTTGGGGTTACCTGAAGTCGCAAGTGTATCGTGATCGACCGATATCTCTAGGGATGCTGAAAGACAACATCCGACGCCAATGCCTCACCATAACTCCGGACATGCTTTACAGTGCTGTTCACACACAACATTATTCCTCGACTACAGCTATTGTTGAGGAATGATGGTGAACATATTAAGCATTTCCTGTAAAGAACATCATCTTTGCTTGGTCTTAATTTGTTATTCTAATTATTGCTTTTCTGATCAGATTATTGCTTGTCTAATTATTGCTTTTCTAATAAAACCCCATGTCATTCTAAGTACGTGTGTCAATTTTTATCTCTGTATCTACATTATTCCGTGATTTATTAAGTTTTCAAATTTATACTGACTTTTTGATCACCAAGGCTCATGACACGTTTTTAATTTATCAATTAAATCTTCATTTATTTAAACTAGATTTTATTGGACATACATTAGTACCAACCGTTTATATCTACAGGGTGAATGTGGGCAAAACATTAGGGGGGACAGCAGCTTACAAGCAATATTAATCATAGAATGTATTGTCGGAACACAATCAGGGAGAAGTTAAGGGTAGTTTTCTTCTGTCACATTTAAAGAATCAACACAAGAATGAGAGGAGATGCTTCAGAAAACATTTTAATTAGCAGGGATATAACTGATGTACATGCTCAAAGAAATTCCTCAAAAGCACCCGTTTTAAAATTTATTAATTAAATCTTTATTTGCAAATTCTGTCACATTTAAAGAATCAACACAAGAATGAGAGGAAATACATCGGAAAACATTTTAATTAGCAGGGATATAACTGATGTACGTGCTCAAAGAAATTCCTCAAAAGTACCCGTTTTAAAATTTATTAATTAAATTTTTATTTACAAATGCAGGCTTCGCACTTGCGGGATACTGACTGACCCATATTTGGAAAGACACCAGGTATTTACAGAATATCGCGAGGAACAATGACGATCCTGACGATTAGATCCATATTGGTTTCAACGGAGCACTCGTAGATTAGCCTTTTCATAAGACCCCCACAGGAAAAAGGTCCAAACACGAGAGATCCGATGATCTTACTCCGCAAGCTATGGGACTAGCCGCACCAATCCATCCATCGCCTAGGAAACTTCGTGGTTCGTACAACGAAGTCATCCTCTCAGCAATGCACGGTAGCGGCTCGCTGTTTGCGTTCCGAGCATACATTTTCTGACGAATATTGCGCGTATAGCTGTCTTCTATCAGCCCCTGAAGTTTTGCCCACTTGTTCAGTTTCACCCTGTATAGAAACATTTATTTACTATGCTTAAGATAATTCTTATTATGCAAGAGACAATGCTTAAGATCATCTATTTAACATGTATTTAAACATTATTTATTACCTAAATTTGCTCGCATATTCATTATTTTAGTCTCTATTTTCACAAATTTACATTATTAAGATGTCATTTATATTATTAAAGAAAATAAGAAAGCAAAATATATTTTATGACTTACTTTTTTCTGGTCATTAACTACTAAAGAGTTTTCGCCAGTAGATCGCATTAAAGAGCACTAGGCAAATATATTTCCAAACAAATGGTACTAGGCAAGTACCAACACCCGTGGGCGAAGAAAATTCAGCTGCGCAAAATATCTTAAATAATAAGTTAATATATACTAATTGACAAAATATCTCATGACTAGTTAAAGCCGGTCATGGCGCTCACAGAACTAAATTCTGTTACGACATTAAGTCTCTTTTTCTGATCTCCTAATCCTTAGTTCCCTTCTGGCAGTCATCCTTTTACATGAATTATTTCATATTCTTCGATGCGCTAGTTCAATATTTAAATTCATACCAGAGAAGCAGTTGTGAAGAGGTTTCACTACCTGGTTTCAGAATGATTTGCTTTAGCAAGTCTATTTATCTTGCCTCTCTTTTTTATTTATTTATTTTTTGGCGGTTTAGGAAAACTTCCTTGCTGATATCTTTTTAATACTCTTTACTGACTCTCTTTACCGCAATTTGGGAAGATGTTTCGCTGATATCTTTTCAACACACTTTATTGCTAAACGAAAAATTCCTATCAACTGAAAATTTGTCTTACAGATAATTTTTTCATGTTGATAATGACTTCTTTCTACTCTACCTAAACTGCCGCATTCCTGTCATGCTGAAGCTCCAAGTATCCACTTTATAATGCATTTTCTCTTTTCTTACCGCGTGTCTTCATGGTGTAATTTGAAAACACATCAAGCTAGCAATCGGAAGGTCCGGCATTCAAGTCTCGTTAAGAGAAATGACGATAAACCTAAAAACTTTACATATGTACTGGAATTAAAACATGGTGGACGATAATTCGCCACCACCAGGATTTAGGGTCTGGTTTCCTGCCTCCCCCATGGCCCTTAAAGTCGGGGAGAATGTAATTCATTTTCTCCCTTCTTATGATGTGCCTTGGTAGTGTAATTGGAAAGCATGCCGGGCTGGCTGTTGAAAGATCCTGATCTCGAGACTCTGCACATTGCACTGATTGAAACCTTAAACACTGAACATTTTTGTTTCATGTTTTCTCTTTCGACAAACCTTATAACTTCACAGTTGCGCTGGAATTAAAAAGAAGTGGACGATCGTCACCATCAGGAATTTAGCTATTGGATCTCTGCGTCTGTGGCCTTTTAATTGGGGTAGAATGTATGGCATTTTCTCCCTCCTTACCAAGTGTCTTTGCAGAGAATTGAAAAGCATATCCCGCCAGCAGTCAAAATCAATGCCCAACACTGCACATTTTTTCATCCATTTGTTTTTTCCAGTTTCCTGCTTTGAGGAACATAATGACGCAGGAACTTTTCCATATTTCAACTTATTTTAAATAAATTATTTATTTAATTTTTAATAAATTAAATAAATAATAATTTAAGGAGCCTGAAGTTTTCGTATTGACGATAGCACGTGATTATTAAATCCACAAACTTGTATTTTTGTACTGTGGCCAAATTTCCTTTGCTTTCTTGCTGTTTAGTTTGGCTTATTTGACCATTTATCGTTATTTAATATCTTTATTTTTTGGTTTAATTCAGCTTTATGGCTGTATATAATATTAAAACACAAAAAAAAAAAAAAAAAAAAAAAAAAATCTGAAATGTTTCAGATTTTAAATTACGTCCAAAGGGGCGTTTTTTAACATTTTGTGTGTTACCTTTCTTTATTAAATATCATGTTCCTCGCACTTAAAACATAAGATCCAGTGCAACAGCAATATCGCAAAATAGTTTTAAAACGAGCATATCTTTAGAATTTCCGATACAGAGACTCACGCGCTGGAGATAAAAATGTTTTTTCTGCACAACGTTGCCATTGCTCGCTTTGAAATCCTTGAGTTTGTTAATCAAAAATTCGTCAAAGTTTTAAAAAATAGGAAATCGATCATAAAACAAATTTCAAATTTCAAATTTGGTCTTCCACATGCTCATATTAGTTGGAGGATTACGTTATTCAAAATTCGATGACTCTATGTACCGTTGTTTTATCACAATACGAGAAATATACATACATTTATGCAGATTTTTCATTATTTAATTTCTTCAAATATAATGCAGGACTCTAACATTTTGTGGCAACAGTTTGAAAAGTGAACCGACATTTATGAGTCCGACGCAAAATGCCGAAACGAAACTAATAGTCCTTCGGGATTCAAATCCCTTTGGACTAATAAAAAATGTCAGGTAGAATGTGTATTTTTTTATTATACTCTTTTTAAACCATTTAAAAATGGGAGTTTTCTAGCATAGCAGAATACTCTGCGTATGATAACCCTGGTATGATACACTATTGAATTATTAGACAATTATTTCGTCTCAGAAGATGCATGCATATCTTAGCGTAATCTCTTGCTCATTGGAGATTACTGCTCTTGATAACTGTGCTATAAATAAATAAATTTTGAATTCCCTATTAAAACACTGTTAATAAACATTGTATTTAAAGGTACATGTATGAAAGAAAACTGCTAACAACAACCAGGAGCAGCAATCGTTTATCCTCACGTGGATAAATCATGGCGTAACAGAATGAAGCAATTAGTAGGTGTTTTCCTTTACTTTTTATCTCATTTAGATGGTAAGAAGTAGCTTTGTGTCTCGTTCAAATAGTAACAAACAATTAGTTTTGGTCTCTTTAAATAGTAATAACCAATTATTTTTTACTTCATTTAAATAGTAACAAGCAAGTTACTTTTAAATAACATGCAAGCAACAGTAAATAACCTTTAATTTTTGTACAGTTTAAATAGTAACAAGCAAATTAACTGTAATAAATAATGAAAGGATTGACACTCATTGTTGCTCCATATTGTAATTCTGATGCACTTTCGAAATGGTCTAATTGTATTCTCTGATTAAAACTGAATGGTCTAATAAATGTCTAATAAAATTGAAATGGTGTAATTGTATTGTATCTAATTGTGTTGCAGTTTCACTTTATTCTAGACAAAAAACTACAACTAATTTTGAACTGTTTTAGTTACAATATATATATGGCACATAAATAAAAAAAAACATTGCGTTTATTATCCTGTCATATAAAGGATATAAAACAGGTTTTTCAAACTGTGGGTCGCGACCCCTAAGGGAGTGGCGGGACCTGCAGCAGAGGGTCGCCAAAACTTTTAATAGTTTTGATATTTCTTTTAACTTATTATAATAATTTTACAGTTACCAAAAATGCATCTGAAAATAGATAAAGATAAGACATTACAAACAAAGAAAAAAAAAACGAAAAACGTTTCGACACGTTCTTTTTATAATATAAACATTCATTTTCCTTGCTTTGCACGTGACGTTGTCATTTCGTCTGTTACTTATTTAAAATTTTCACAATGTTCTGTTTTAAAATTAGAAATTAATGACCTAAAACTTCAATAGTATATTACAGTACAAGTGAAAAAATTGACAGTTTCACTTACGCTTGTGTTGGATTTGAAAAATTTTTATAAATATTATGGGGTCATGGGGGTCGCGAAAAAATGTCAGTGAATAAAAGGGGTCAGGACTGAAAAAAGTTTAAGAAACCCTTAATATAAAATACAATATGGCATATTATTTTCATGATATGTAAATAAAAATAATATGTTAGTATCTTTGTTATTTTTTATGCATTTTCGGTTTGACCTCATTGTATCTGGGCAACTGTTGCACTTTGTATACTAAAAAATACAATTAATTTTGGAACTATTTTAGTGATACAACAATAAAAATTTAGTATAATGTTTTTATTCATGTACCATATAAATAAAAATATCACTTTCATTATCGTGACATATAAATGACATAAAATATAGCATGATATGATAATAAGAAACGTTTATTATCATGAAGTATAAGTGATGTATAAAATGTAGCTACACGATAATAAAAAACGTTTATTTTCATGACATATTATTAACAAATCATTTGTTAGTACACTTGTTATTTTTTATACGTTTTCGATTTGAACTCCTTGTACTTGGAAACGTGTTGCAAGTTAATTTTATACTAGACCACAAATTTTGAATCTATTTTAGTTTTAAAATGATAGAAAATTTCGAAGTCAGTACTAATTTTTAAGATAACCGAAATGTACAAAGCCCCTGCTTGCTATCAGTTTATTTTATGTAACGTTAATATAAATCTTTATTTTTCTCCAGCACCCTCTTTCAGTGACTAAATTATTTGATAACTCAGTTGATGTAAAGTGTAAAATCTGCTGTAGAAGAGTAAACTTTACCATTACTATCGAATCCATGAGTAATTTCATGGCCAATGAAATATCCAATGCCTCCAAAATTAAGATAGCTGGAAAGGAAATCGAAATACTTTTTAGTTTGAGAAAATACAGGTTTTCGTAACATTTAAGATTAAAATGAAGGAAGTCATAGTTTAAATAAGTATCTTCCAGCTTAATTTAAGTTTACAAAAATGTGTAAGATTTATTTATAACTTACTATGGTCGATCCTTGCTGAAATTGGGAAGCTGTATAGCTCCTGCAGGGAATGCTGAAAAAAGAAATGTTAACTGAAATTCTTTTTTATTTAGATTTGTCAAATGCTAATACGAGAAGGGATCATGGCATGGTACCAGAAAATGTTAAATCTCTTTGCAGCATGGGAAGTTATGGCAGAAGATTATTGTACACGAATACTTAATTAGTGAATGTTCTTGTTTTAAATTGGAGAGTAATTAGATGGATGACAATGCATTTCCATACAAAGTACAGTGAAAAGTCGTTAATTCGGACACCCATAATCCGGAATGATCTATAATCCGGACCTCTAAGCTAAAAACTTTCTGCGCATGCGCCGCGTCGGCACATGCGCACAGGCGTTTTACGCGTGCGCGTAAGACCTTGACTACTGCGCATATGCGTGTGCGCAAGTGCAGAATACGTTTTCGCCTGCGCGTGTAATGTATAACGGATGGTGTAAGCTAAAATTATCTAATTATCTATTTCAGTTAATGTTAATGATTGCGTTGTTCCTTAATCTTCGAATTGGATCCCGCTTATTATTTTTTGCAGACTGTAAGAGCAATTTTATAAAAGTAAACTTGAACTTTTCGATTATGTCAAATAGAACTTCCGATGCTGGAACTTCCAAAGGATCTACAAAACGAAAGTATGTTTCGATGTCCAACAAACAAAAAGTGGAATTGCTGCTGCAAAAAAATGGATAAAGACATGAAGAATGTGACAGAGAGGTTAGTGAAAACGAAAAAATTTCGATTGACAAGTTAGTCGGTATTCTCGGCACAGCAATTAACGGGACTTGAACAGCGGAACTTTGTAACTGAACAAGAAATTGTCTTTTTATAGAATTAAAGAGAAAGTATTATCACATAAAATGAAGCAACTTAAACAACTTACATTGAGAGAAATGTTTAATAAAGTAAACAATAAATATTAAGCTTTTTTTTTTTTTTTTTCTTTCTTTTTTTTTTTTTTTTTTTTTTTTTTTTCTTTTTTTTTTTTCTTTTTTTTTTTTTTTTTTTGTAAATTTTGATACCCTTTAGATCATAATTGTTCTTTATTTCATAAATTACGGTTTCATATTTTTAATTTTAGAATTTCTGCATTTCTGCATGCCATCTTACGAGATTTAAACTGATGATCTATAATCCGGGAAAATGGATAATCCGGAATCGCCGAAGTCCCGACGAGTCCGGATTAACGACTTTTGGCTGTACAAATCTTTACCACCAACAATTCAAGATAAAACCGCTTGATTTTTTCTGCTTATTTTCTGGTCTATCATCCTACTGAAGATCAGGAACTTAAGACTACATTGGAAGAAGAATGGAAAAGATTCTGCTTCTTCTGAACATTCTGTGGTAAAGTAAAATCAATATAAAGCCCTGGAGTTTGAGCAGCAGCCCATACTACCAACTAATGTTCTACGTTCTGTGTTGTCATTCTTACAGAAGATTGCACTTTAGTGATTACTTACGGAGGCTAAATTACTCTTGTGATTTTGACTTTAACAAAACACCCATAAGTTTTCTGCTGGGATATTTGTGAAGTTTCGTTCTCTTGAACAATGTCTACCGCTATATATACTCAACAAAATCTGCCACTTGATTAGCAAATTTTAAGCAATGTATTTCAATCACAATTTTACTATTCTGCAAGTTAAAATTTTTTTAAATCATTCCTATTTGGAATTACTGTAATACTAATATTCTTCATATTATTCTAATGTTTAGCTTAATTGTTCAAAAATCACATCCGAAACATTGGTTTCTAAAAGGAACATTAATTCAAAATTAACATATATTTCATAGCTAAAGATATATATTTTATGTGATTTGTAGCAAATTAGAAAAGATCACAATGTAAAATTTGAGATTTGTTCAATACGAAATGTATTAATTTTTTTTCCTAACATCTCTAAATGATGGATAACAAAATGAGCTATTTCCGTTTGAACGAAAACGTGTCATCCATAAATTCGACGTCAGAATCCTTATTTTCATTTAAAAAAACTTATTTTAAAAAAGAACTTACTGAGATACAAAGTTACTATATTTACTCCAGCTTGGGGGGGGGTGGACTATGCTCCCAATCTTATTCAATACTGACGTTTTGAGGATTTTTCTGTCTTCCGAACGAGATCACGAAATTTTCTGTTTGCTGAATTAGTAACTCTTACTGCTATTGATAATTAGAAGTGGCAATATTTTAAAATTTCCAATTATAGACTAATAAATTTATAATAATGATACCAATACAATACTTTCACATATTCTGTTTTCTGTTTCTAATTATGGGGTTAATAAATTTATAATAGTAAAACGTAGCAAATGAAAACTCACATATGCTGTTTTCTGTCTTCATATAAAAGGCATTTACAATAGTCGCACGCTCTGCAAATTTGTTCCACCTGTAAATAAATATTTACCAACACTAAATGAAAGTTTTAACGACACTCTTCTGTCATGAAAACATTTACATTTAATTTATTGAATCGTACGCGCGCTTGAATGACAGATGTAAAAGATGTATATTGGTATCTTTTCGCTTAAGTTTCAGAACACTTTGAACACAGATATAGAATATTACATACTTCCTACACAAGTTTAATGTACATTAATCGGTATTTGTATTTCATTGCTTTAGTTCAGTTTTGGAATCATTAATTCTTAAAATTTCAGTAGGATACCATAATTTATTTTTACCATTTTTTGAATTCTTAAAATAGGCAGATGTTATATATATAATTTTAATCTTAATTGTTATAAGTTTTAACTCCAACATCCACTTCTGATGCTTTTTTTTTTTTTTTTTTTTTTTTTGCAATCATATAATTACTGCTATATGTTCGCTTAGTAAAATATAGCTAATCAGTAAATCTGTATTGTTTATCCTCGTGCAATTAAGCTATTACGCTTCAGCTACGCAATAAATTTCATATCTCAGAAAAGTATTTTATTTCTCTTATAATTAAAACAATTTAATAGGAACTTGCAATTATCTGTAAAGAAATACTTCCATGATCGTTGCCTTTATCACATCTGTAATGCTCACTGTGGAGTCAGAATAAGACAAAATAAAATTATTAAGCTCTGTCAGAGTTATTTATAGTATTAGGTAGATGAGAGTGTCTTAAATATTTGGAAATATCCATATTATATAATGCACGCAAAACGATTTGATGAAATAATGATTTAAATAAGTTAATTTTCTTGTTTGATCAATTAAATAACACAAGCAATATTCCAAGTTATTTACAGTGAAAATAGTGTATGTCTGCAAATGAATAATATTTATATTGCTTAGAATTAAGAAAACATTGTAAATGTTTAAATTTAATTAGGTATATTTTTTTCAGAATAAACAGATAATTCTTTCCATATAGTAAACGATTAAAAATTAGCAGTAAGACATTGTATCATTGGTAATTGCAATTTTTATGCATAATACTTTAGATTTTAATTTTCTTTATTTTTGTTAGTAAATTTTAGGAAAACCACATTAATAGGAATAAAATAAGTAATTACTAATAGTTAAAATTGTACGTACTCTCCTCTTTTATTAGGGTTTCCTAAGACGAGAGAAGGCTTCGTCAGTTACCCACCTGTTTACGTTCCGCATGTTGTCGAAATAACTTTCATTGCCTATAGTTAACTGAAAAACAAATTAAATTGTAATGGTATAATTTCTTAAAAATCTCTTGATTTTGTAGATGGTACCGGCAAAATATCAAACACGAAATTCTGTAGAATACCTAGGCCTTTTATAGAACGCCTGGCGATTTTAAGCAAAGCATGAAATATGAGAATTATATACTAAAACCTAAGCATTATATATAACGCCTAGGCGTTCTGTAGCATGGCAAATGCTCTTTAGGCAAAGTATAAAAAAAAGGTTATTACAAAGGTATTACTCAAAACATGTTCATTCTTTTAAAATACAGATGTTGTTTTGAAAAAATAATGAAAGAGTGCCATTAAAAATTGTTATTTAAAATACATAAAGAAAAAAAAATTATACAAGAAACCAAATCTGAAAGGTTTCAGATTTTAAATTATGTCCAAAGGGGCGTTTTTTTAACATTTTGTGTGCTACTTTTATTTATTAAATATCATGTTCCTCGAACTTAAACCATAAAATTCAGGGCCCACCAGCGGCCGAGCGGTAAAGTCGCTGAACACTGGTAGTTCGGTCCGAGGTTCGGCTCCCGCGAACGGGCTGGCTGCATGGGCGTTTTCGTGGTTTTCCCCATATGTAACGTGTATAAGAGCCTGTTTCCCTTAGAAAGTCCTCCACGAAAGGCATCCCTCCCCTTAGGCAGATAGCCCTAGTGTGCTTTGCCATAATTAAATACACCACACCACCATAAAATTCAGTTCAAGAGCAATATCGCAAAATGATTTTAAATTGAGCATATCTTTAAAATTTCCGTCACACAGTCTCACGCTGAGACAAAAAAAATTTTCTGTACAATGTTGCCACTGCTTTGAGTTTGTTAACCAAAAATTCGTTAAAGTTTTACAAAATACGAAACTGATAATAAAACAAATTCCAAATTTCAAATTTGGGCTTCCAGATGCCCACATTTGCGGACATTCAAAATTTGATGGCTCCATGTACCGTTGTTTTATCATAATGCAAGAAACATACATACATTTATGCAGATTCTTCGTTATTCAATTGCATCAGTTTGAAAAGTGAAACGGACTTACAGAATGATTCGATGCAAAATCGCCAAAACGAAAACAATAGTCCCTCAAGGACAAACCCCCTTGGACTAAAAATAAAAGTTGTACTAAACAAAATGTATACCTTTCTTATCAAACAAACGTTATTCAAAATTTGATGGCTCTAGGGTACCGTTGTTTTATCACAATGCAAGAAACATACATACATTTATGCAGATTCTTCGTTATTTTAATTTCCTTCAAATATAATACAGAACTGTAATATTTGGTTGCATCAGTTTGAAAAGTGAAACGGACTTTCAGAATGATTCGATGCAAAATCGCAAAACGAAATAAATAGTCCCTCAAGGACAAACCCCCTTGGACTAAAAATGAAAAAGTTGTACTAAACAAAATGTATACCTTTCTTATTAAAGAAAACAAATTTTCATATAAAAATAAGAAATTAAAATTAACCTATTTGTTGCAACATGATAGGCCTGAATGACATTTTGAATTCACTTTATTACTTTTTTCGCACAAAATATTTCATATTTCGGCACTTTGTTTTGTCCTTATGCTTGACGAATCCTTGGCCACTTCCATTGGACTTAGCAATTGGCCAGAGAGGAATTTCGTGGTCAGGAATATCTTCATTTCTAAGCAAGTTTTCAGAACATAAAATGAACTGCGATCCCGTATGAAGTTGATTTAAAATTCTTACAGAAGTTCGAAGTCGGTAGAAACTATTCTGTGTCACACTCACTACAACTGTACTTGTCCTAGGTACTGTATATAAAAGGAGATGTATTTCAAATTTTACCGGTTTGTCGTTAGACACTGTGTGATACCTTTAATCGTTTCGTGCATTGCCAACCAGTCCCCAGCATTCTATAAAACACCTAGGGCTTCTACTGAATGTCGGATTTCATGCTTTGTCGATAACGTAGACAAAATTTATTTTTCAAAATTCAGTAATAATCTTTAGATACTCACATTTTTATAATACTCGGAGACAATAGAATCATTCATAAGTTCTTTGGGATATCCAACAAATGCCATTATAGCATTAGCCTGCAAAATACGAAAAAAAAATATCTGAATTGTTTCTTCTGAATTTTTCTTTCTTTATAATTCAGTTTCTGAATTGTTTCTTCAGTTACAGCAGCGAATTGATAATTTTAAATGTAGTTAATGGCTGTATATTGAAAATATATACAAGTTGTAAAGTCATTAGAGGAAAAAGCAGAGGATTTGAAAAATGTGAATGCCCTCTCCCGGGACTCGAAGCTGGTCGTCTCGAATACGCGCCCAGTGTGCTAACTGTTAAAAAAGGCGACTGGGAATTAGGGGATCAGAGTCCTATGTTGAAATGGCGTATGTTGCAATGAGAGACGTGGTTGCATGAGGGTCTGGGAGATTATTTTTAGTGGCTGTGCATGATAGAAGTAAGGAAACGATGATGCAGTGTATTAAAGAGTGGATTGAGCCTTGTACAGCTATTTTTTCGGATGGCTGCAAATCTTACAAGGATTTAGGAAAAGAAGATTTTGAACATTTATTTGTGAACCAGAATTTTCTGGATAGTGTGTCTGGCTGTCATATAAATACGATAGTGATTACGTGGCGGCATGTTAAAGGCGGTATGAAATTGGTATTTCTGCTGTTCTAAAAAGCATTCATTCATGGTAAGTGCATTTTATTTTATTCTTTTCTTATTTTGTACAATTCTATGTTCATTGTTTTTTAGTACGAATTTCTGTCGTTATTATAGTTTTTTTTTTAATTGTTTGAAATTTATTTTAGTTATTTTAGTTTATTTTGTTGATTAGTGCGTAGTGCCTAGATTGTGGAATTCGTAGATGTTTTCTAAAGTTGAAACAGAACGCTGTGTACATGGTATTCTTTGAAATTTATAGTTCTTATGTTCATTTATTAAAGTGAGGTGTGCGCAGTTCGTAGATTGTTTCGCTGCCTAAATTGTGGAATTCGTAGATTTTTTTTTAAAGTTAAAACTTATCGCTGTTTACATGGATTCTTGTCAAATATTTTTGGTTAGAAACTTTACGTTTTTGATATCTAAATTTTTTGTTTTAATTTCGGATTTTTAGCTTAATTTGTGTGTTCAAAACGTGGTTTTTGCATGTGCGAAAACCGCGTTTTTGGAGACATTTTAGGCTTGAACAATTAGAATGAATTTTAATTTACAGAATTTTACTATTTTCGGTTATTTGATAAAGTACACTAGGTTGGAGTGGAAATATAAAGAGTTCGTATTTCCTCCTAAAATTAAAGCGATGAACTAGATTGATGTGTGTAGATGGAATACTATTCCCTTAAAAGTAATTCATTTGATTTTTAAAGGCTAAAAATGCGCATTTGAAAATATCAAATGTCCAGCTGCTTTCACATTATTCATATTAAGTTTCTTATAGCCAAATGAAATCTAGATACTCTGATATAATCAGTGTAATATTTAACAGTGGTCCGTAAGTTCCTACCCATTCATATACTCTCTTCATTCATTAATGGGATTAAACCGGCCATTATCTTCAAAAGGACAAATACGCTCTTTAGTCGTAAAGGGCTTAAATCGGCCATAATGTGGAAAATAAAATAAACTAAATTTATAATACATGCAGGCAAAATGATTGAAGAAATAATGTAGCATATCATAATAACATATGAATGCGAAACCGTGCTGTGTTGAGAAATTTTTCATAAAACATGGCGCCCACCTCCTGCCCAGACAGGAAAGTGGTCAATGACTCTGACTGTTGTACCGAAGGGCACCAGATTCGAATCCTGGAGGAGGCATGAATTTAGTTTGTCCGTGCTTTCATAAGAGGCAACGGTGGCCTGCCTATTAGGTGCCTGACCAGATAAGCATTGAGTGCTTTGTCATATTAAAGGGACCACTGCTTTCGGCCTTAGTAGTCGCCAATGGCTATAAATGGCTACAACCTGACATTGGAGGGGAAAATGGCGTCACTTAATATTATAAGTAGAAATGAAGAACAATACGCAAATTCACTGGATAAATAAGGTACATGAATAAGTAGAGATGAGTGGACCGACCTGTGCATGAAATAAGTAAACAGATATACTTCAGATAAAAAATTAAACTTTTGAAACTTAGTGAAGGTACCCGTTTCACATTTACGATTGTTATTGTAACTAGCTTCTCAACGTTACAATTTCATTATAACTGAAAACATTTTTCGTGACAGTGTTTTTCGTTACCAGAAAATTTAGTGCAATAAAGAGTTACTTCTGTATTGTGAAATACAAATAATATAAGCAAAAGAAGAAAATATAAAAAATAAAAAACCTTTTTCTATAGCTTGCGTTTTAGTGTCTTCGTCCAACCACTCATTCTTTTCCAGCATATTTAAGTATTCTTTACGTATATAATGAATCATCTCTACAGCCTGAAAGAAATGAAATGGTACTTCTTCACGCAAAGTTACGTAAAAGATGGATATAACTTGTTACCATAAGAGGCAACGTGTGCCTCTTACGGTAACAATATATTTTTTTTAATTGCGGAAATACCTGAATGGTTATTGATGGCGAACTTCAGTGAAGGAGAACCCTATACTGATACAAGTGATACATCATTTGAAATTTATAATCAGTTGCAGTTTATAACCAACTGCAATTTATGCAGTTAACTTTAAAAAATCGTTTGTTTGTTGCAAGGTGAAGAGATATTTTTTCCAGTGCAGAACGAGCATTTGTGCATTTTGTGAAATTTAAGGGTTAGGTTTTACTCATGGTTAGTTTTAGGTTAATTTCTTTGGTTTATGCCTTGCTTTGTCATGAACCTCTCATATCGGACGTTTATGCAAATTGTATGCCAAATGGCATAGGTTAAATCTAGGTGTAATCGTAGCGGATATTCTGAGTAGAACTTTTCCTACTGTAATGCTACTTGCTCAACGAGCCACCCATCAGACAAAGAGGCTTGAGCGTCAATGCACCCACCAGCGGCCGAGCGGTAAAGACGCTGAACACTGGTAGTTCGGTCCGAGGTTCGAATTCCGCGAACGGGCTGGCTGCATGGGCGTTGTCGTGGTTTTGCCCATGTTTAACGTGTATACGAGCTAGTTTCCCTTAGAAAAACCTCCACGAAGGCATTCCTCCCCTTAGGCAGATAGCCTTCGAGGCTTTGCCATAATCACACACGCACAGCTTGAGCGTCAACATTAGTCGAGTTCGATAAATGTAAATATTATTTTTCTGTCTGATGAAGCGTTTTGTAATTTCAGATAGTAATTCTTGGTACTGTAAACCAGACTCATAGCGTCTAAGGAACGAGATGCTGCATCGACTGGGAAATAAAATGTCTAAATATTTGTTTTGAACTTTTTTCAATTCCTCGATCAGTGGGGGAAATTGATTTAAATTTTGCCTTTTAAGGTAAGCATTAGAAAAAGGTCATACTTCGCCAACCATAATTATTAACTTCTAAAGTTTAGCCGTCAGGATACGTTACAAATAGTTTTAATTAAGTAGACACTTCTAAAACATATAACACTTGAAAAGTTTTTAAAAGACGTTTTCAGTGAAAACATTTCTAACCTCAAAAACACGCACAATTAAAAAAAAAAAATAACTTATATGATTATTAATAATATAAGAAAGCTTTACGCATATTGCAAGAGACATAATAAGATTTAATTTTAAAATTCTAAGGGTGTGAGCGCTATGTTTTGTCCAGTATAGTTGCAAAATAACTTAACTACATTTAAGTATGAAGATTATCACCAGTTGTTTTCTAAATTTAAAGAAAATTTGCTTTTGGTCTTTTGCTTTATATGATTATTTTCAAGAATTTTATATTTTATTAGTGTTCCTATAAAAATACTTTGTTAGGGACACACAAACTGACTTATGTTTTTTTCACCATCCCGCCTTCTAAACTGTGACTTATGCTGAAATATTGTTTTAATTACAAGTGTTTCTTAAAAAGTGTGTTTATTCCAGAACTTTGTACAGTGTGAACTGTTTGTGAATACTGTTAATTTATATGACATTTCTCGTACGAGAACTCTTGAAATTCACCAGAAATATGTTACTGTTGACTTATTCCTCATTTGAGCCACTCCCACCAGTATAATTACGATCCATTTCATTCTGAACCTGTTTCAAAAGCATACTTAATTTAAATTACTTAATGTTTATCTTTTCAAATGCTTTATTAAGCAAACTTTTCAGCTAGTTATATCTTTTGTCACAGCTCGAACAGCTCCCAGATGCTTTTTCACTCTACATACCTTTGTATTTGCTTCAGCTTCGCCTATAGTAGGCGCGGCGTTACACACCCATTTTTTCAATTATATACACAAACGCCTAAGGGCATTTCTTTCAAAAGCGGTGGTTAAAGCAGCAGAGGCTGCTAATTGCCTCCTAATCATTCAAAAGACAAAAGACAAATAATGAGGCATTTCAGCGGTTTAAGGAACTTCCTTAAACTATTATTCATTTATTTTATTTAATCATGATTATTATTCAATGTTTTAGTGTATTTGTAAACATTTTAGTACCAAAGTTTGAACGTGAACGTTCCCTATCAGCCAAATCGCTTCAATCCTAAAAATGAGTTTACCAGATTATTTCTCCGTTTACGCAAATTATGAAAATGAAATCTTTCCCATCATCAGGGTCACGTCACGTGACCAAGAAATCTCAAATTTTAATATTCTGCATATCTAAAAACCCTGTGTAAATAGTGCATATTTTACCGTGAAAGACCGAAAATTGAGAATGTCGACTTTCACCGGAGAAATGTCAACATTCGCCAAATACGTCGATGAAAGATCGAATATTTCTTTACATTCTTGTACATTCGGACTCTCACCGGTGTATGTCGACAATCACAGATATGCTCTGGTGTAGGTCAAAAAGAGAGGAGTATATGTACACGCTGCCATTCCAAAAGGAAGTGTTCCACAAATAAATGCAGTTGTAAAAGCAAGGGCCTCTTGTGCAATTCAAAGTGTCATAATAGTTTAAGTTGTTGCAATAAATAAGATTTGAATCACATAATTTGGTAAGTTTATAACTTCTATTATTTTCCTTTCTCATTTTGAATGTACTGTTTCTTTTAAGTTCTTATATTCTTAAGTTCTTATTTTGAGTCTGAAGTGCTTTTTTTCGCGAATGAATTACGGAGAATGAAATATAATATTCTTATATGTTCAACATTCACCATTAGTACATGGTGAATGTCGACATTCACCGGTGTAAGTCAGAAATAAGAGTATTTGGAAAATATTTCGGACATACACCAAGCGACTACGTGAATGTTGACATTCACCGGTGAAAGTCTACATTCTCCAGATTTCGGTGTTTCACCGTAACATATATATGAATTAGAGACTCAATTTCAAGACTTTAAGAACGCTGTGCTTAATTCACTCGCTGATAATAACTTTGTGAATTTACTAACTTAGTTTTAAACTCTTGACTTTGCCAAAACAGCAGCGTCACTTCCGGAAGTAAGTTGCGATTGCATCGTAATTCAAAGAGTTTCCGTGATTGGCCTTAGAGCAATAAACTAAATCGACTAGTGAAAACTCATAGTAGTTGAGGCTAATAGCAAAGTCATGATCCGTCGTTCGTGGTGAAGCATTTTATATTTAATCTTTTGTAATAGGATAGCTCGATTATGATCATGGATCAGTGGTTTCTAACTTTTTTCTGTCCTATGCATCTCTTTCATAATTGCTAGACGAGAATTACCAATCACCTTTTTTCTGAATTCGAAAAATGCATGTACATTTATTTAAATCTAAATTGTTCTTAATGGTTTTTAAAAATTAAACAAGAAAAGTACAGAAAATGTTGATAAAACCCAAAACTAGAATAAAAGTATTTTTCATATATCGTAAACTAAATATATACTTTGTAGGGTTTATATTTATTTTAACTAACATTTATTTTAAGTTTAAACTATCTTTCCTGTCAAGCCTTACTTTCCCCTGGAATTGCCAATACCAGAGTATGTAAATTTTAGTAGAACGCGCAAGGATTCAAATTGTCAGCGGATTCAAATTGTCTGAGTTAAATAGAAGGGAAACGAGTTCGAAAGTGTGCTTTCTTGCTTCACGAGCGTGGAGGTGGCTAGTTAGAAATTGAAGAACCATGCGTTTCAGCCTGTGTGCTTGCCTCAGTATAGTTAAATCTTTCAACGTAATATTCAGAAGTTTGCTGAATCGTCAGCGGTATCTTAGAACGCAGTTAGGTTAGTTACGTTTAGAGAGCCTCATAGTTAGTCACTTGTTGTTATTCCTTTTTGAGTTTCTTATTTTTATTTTACCGCCGGGTCGGCGTAGTTTATGAGCGTCAAGAGCACGCATCTGTAATTTCTAAAGTTGAATAAAAAGGGATTTAAACCCTTCTCAAGACTTTGTATACTTTCCAGTTCATAGCAGTCACCACTATTGTTGGGTGCAGGTTGGGAGCGCGCGACATTACAACTTAACAGTTAAATAAAATCTGATCACATTCCTTCCTGAAACTATGAAATCCCCTCTAGAGTAGAATTTCGCTTGGTTTAGAACTCCTGCATTACATAAATTAACAGGTAACGAGCATTATTAACATTTACAGATTCAACCAAATGCACAGATTATAATGTATAATTCCTGTTACTGATAGTAGGTAGTCCTGGGTACTGAAAAGGCAGAATTTTGTCACTTACGCTATCTGTGTTTTCCTCATTAAAGTAATGTCGTACATATTGGTAGCCAAGAGCCAGTCCTAAATTCCAAAAGAAGGAATAGAGACAAGTATCCCAGCGAGGGTCTTGTTTTGTTTTACCCGAGATGACTGAATGAAACTCCTCGAACAGATTCCTCCAGTCTTCCGATAGTCTGGGCATAGATTCGTGAACAACCCTCCATATCATGTAGTTAGCTACAACCCTAAAGAGATAAGTACTAACTACCGTATTATAGAAAATTACCATGTAATAAAACATTTTATTCTTATTGAGTAAATGAAAAAAAAAAAAAAAAAAATACCCAAAAATTCCTCTGAAAGCATTCAGGAATTATTTTGAAAGATTTCTTGAAATTACGTTGGGAGAAGTTTGCTTTCGGCCTGTAAGAACTCAAGAAGAAGAATATACTTCGTTTTGAGGATTAAGGACAAGGAGTCAAAAAAAAAGGAATACCTTTTATTAGCTCTTTAGTTGGAAATCGAAAAATTTGAGCAAGCACTGCTTTCGCGTGAAATGATTTAAATCATGGCACTATGAATTTTTAATTTAAATCTTCATTCGTTTTGGTAAATGTATAGGTGAAAACACAACTGAAAGGACATGACATTCGTGAGATTCCTGAGATTTCTTACCTACCGTTAACTAACACATATCAGCGCAGAACCACCCCACCTGACATTTTCGTGTTGGAAAATAAATTCAGGTAGGCAATACTTTAACCCTTTTTATTTATATATTAATATTTATAAATTAATATCATTAACACGTTAGATATCGATAATAACAAATATAATCCACCTTGTAAGAAACTTTTGAATAACAAAGCAATTTTTAATTAATAGCAATAACACAGCCAACTGAAAATGTTAATTGCCGAATGAACTACTGAACATGTATAGTCTGTTACAATTGTAAGTTTAGTTGTTAAGATAGCAGTACCTTAACAACTAAACTTACAATTGTAACAGAACTATTTGGACTCAGCTCAGCTATTTTATCGAACGCCATCTAGTGGCGACGAGAACAACTAACAGTTGGTGGACCACCAAATGCGATGAGGATAGGTTCTCCGTTATTATGTCTCCGTAACTCTAACATTCGTTTAAAATGTTAATTCTAAATGTTAGGTGTTTCGTTTTAGTGTATGTTAAAATTCTGATATATATTTTGTTTGTAACTGTTTCTGTGATGTGTTAGTAAATACTTTTAGAGATAGAAGGCGTTTGTGTTTATAGAAAAACGGTTACAAAATTTTAATCTGAAGTGCCATTTGCGAAATGGCTTTAACTCACAAATTAAAGAAAATCTTCTTTTTGTGTTTCCAAAATATTAAAAATAAAACATGTTTGTTATTTTCTTGATAGCCCAAATTACAGCAATGCCTTATTTTTTCCCTTTAATATTTTTCTTTTCCATTTAAATAGCTTAAATCATATCAATGGAAGAAAAAATTCGAATATTCTGCCTCAATTTTAATCCACCGTACATTACGTCTAACGAAATCAGTTTGAAATTGATATGTGCACAAAAGAAAGAACTCGTGACTTTTTCCTTACCTCTTCTCCGTTTTATTGATAAAATCCGCGAATCTGCTGACAAAATCTGGATTTTGATAAACTAAGGTTTCATTTTCATCGATTTCGTCATTCAGTAATCCATTGAAGTACCTCAGCCAGTCAATCTATCGAGAAATGCAAGAGAGCTTATTTTAATCTTCTTCTGTGAGCTTTAATTAATATATTAATATTTATTTTTCTTTAATTAGCAGTCAAACTTGGTTTTTATGTGATCTGAAGCCTCTTCGTAAAATAAAAAGCTTTTCAAGTTTAATTAGAAACTAAACTCGATTTTTATATGACCTGAGGACTTTTCCCAAAATGACATGAAAAAACGTAAAATTTAAACAAAATATTCAAATACAATAGTAATAAATTTAATATCCATCCAAGGATAGAATATGATAAACTGTAAATTTTTTTCACTGAAGCTTCCAGCAAAATTTTGTTTGTCTCCTTTGTTAACAAAACTAATGAGCAGTGTTTTTTCCCCTGCATTACTATATTATAACATTCTTATTTTATGAAATCTAGAGCTTTCTTTACTTTGATTCAGAGGAGCATGGTTTATATTTTAAATGTTTAGTTCTGTTAATAAAATTATTAGAAGTCTTAAATAAATTGAAAACTTCAGCAAAATGAACAATGTATTTAACATGAAGAATGAAATTAACATATAATACCAACAATATAATTTTTATAAAAAATTGTTAATAAAATTACCAACTTTCTACAGAAAAATGGTTCAGAAAACATAAATTGTATTTGAAAGGTGTAGTTACAATGGGCATTAGCATCGATGATTACTAATTTAATTTCTTCAAATAAAACCTTATCAAGCGCATAATAAAATAAGCTTTTAATAAAAACAGGTAAGCATCAATTTACGTATACACTTTATATGCGATAGCAATGATAAAAGAAGCGAATAAGCGATTAAAAATTATAAGAATTTAAATGAAAATGCATAAGAATTTAAGTTGAAGGTGCCTGTTTAATAACAATACATTTTACATTTTCTTTATGACTTTTAACTCTTGTAGACATATTTATGCACCAGCAAATGAACGGTAAAATCACCGAACACTGATAGTTCTGTCTAAGTGAAATCTCGGCAAACAAGTTGTTTGGATTACACTTTTGTTACTCTCAACGAAAATATCCCTCCCACAAGGCAAATAGCTTTGCCATAAAATAAATCATTTTAATCCACCACATATTTTCTTAAGTAGCACGTATTTAACTGCGGAGAGGGCACGCTATTTCATATTATGCGCTGTTTGTTTTCCATAGTTTGATGGCTGTAGTGATAACGTGGAATAATTTATGTCTTCTGTAAATTTTCTCCACACGCTTACACATGACTATGGTTCCACATTGTTATCTGATCCAAATTTGAGTTTGAATAAGAAGAACCCAGAAGTGTATGGGTTTAGCAGCAACCGAGCAATAAAATCTCTGAACATGTGTAATTCGACGTGAGCGATTTCAGGCGAACGTGCTTTACGTATGGGCTTTTTTCGTAGTTTTACCATTGTTTAACGTGGATACGAGTCCGTTCCTCTTAGAAAGCTCTCCAGGAAGACATCTCATCTTTTAGACAGATAGCCGTAGTGTATTTTGCCATAATGAAGTTAAGCAAACCCAGAAGTTTGTATATGCGGTAGCAAATCCTTCTGCGTATGCAAGCTTAACGTTGTAGCCAATCATCTTGTGTATGCAAGCTTAACGTTGTAGCCAATCATATTCATACCATCCATCTAAACATAAAACATCCGCAATCGTAATGTTTATCAAGTTCTTTTAATCCAAAGTACAAAATATTGTATGCAATTCTTTGGCCATTATCTGCATATGGTCTTCGGTTGCATGTCTGAGGGTTTCCAGTCGTCTTTCTATCATTACTCTGTCTTTTTGTTTCAAGTATTTTTCTGCCACTTCTGAATATTTGATTACCTGGAGCTTACCTTACCACATTGTAGCTTGAGCCAATCATAGGATTAGGAAATGTAGAGATTTGCATGTCTTTGTCGGAAACGTTTCTGAATATATTCAAAGGAAGGAAGGGAAAGCGTTATATCTACATGCTTAAAACTAATGCATATCTATGATGAGTTCCAGTTTTCATTGAAGTTTTGAATTTAAACTAACTAAATTATTTTATACTATTATTTTATTATTTATTAATCTTACCTGTGGTACCTCATCCATAAGCTTCTTAACGGTATGCGGAACGGTGTTGCTCCCCGCATTATTTGTATGGTCTGTTTCATTCGATGGTAAAGAAAACTGCGAGAGAGGTGAGGAAAACGAATCAATATAAAATTAAATATCATATTATTTACTCATAAATAAGCAACTTAAAAAGGTACTTAACAGTACTGTTATCCGCAATACTCGTATTCTGACTTTTTTCCAATGGAGAAGAGAACTGTAGGAGGAAAAATAAATCACATAAATGCAAATTTTTAGCAAAAAAGTATGAAATTAGCCACCACATAAAACACAAATTTTTATCGAGTCAGATATGAACAAATGAAACGATGAAAGCGCTAAAGAGTCTTAAACCTCAAATTGCCTTGATTATTAACAAAGGTAAATTTAAGGTATATATATATATCGGTGATGTTAATTTCCTACTTAATTTATAAATTCCTATAGTTAACATCGATTGGAATTTTTTGCGACATTCAATGATAAATTTTCGTTTTTCTGAAAACTAAATGTGTTACGCTTTTATCTTTTATATTACAATACATGCATTTGCGTACGTGGCTCCTTCTTTTGAGCTATGGGGACACTCGTGTCCAGATGTTCTGAAGGGAGCTTCCAATTATTACAATTCTTGCACGCATTTGTGTAATACGGAAGAGAATATACAGATGATTTGCAATCATTTTAAACACATTTTCTTTTTTCTTGAAAAGCACGTTCTTAGTATGAATTTGTAATTCATATTAAGAACGTACATCGTAACGGCTGCAATAAGCCCGTTACGATGAAATACCTCGAGGTTTTGATAAACTGTATCGGTACCTATTGTTACCGTTTAATACTGTGAAATACGTTTGACGCAGCAGGTGTTATCTACCTTCCAAGGAAAGCAGAAAGCAGGTGTTACTTTTCCTCAGATTAAAGTTGGTTTCAAAGAAATTTGATTTTCAGTTTGCAAAATTATCTGCTTCACTAGTGTTACGTAAGATCAGATGGCATCGAGTACTTTGAAAATGACGCAGTTTAGAAAGGTTTAGAAAAAGCAAATACTATTTTTATATTGAAAAGGGGAAATACCCAAATTTCAATAGATTTAAGGGAGTTTTGCAAAGTAAAGTAACTACTTTGAGTTACATATTTTCATCTTAGTATATGTATGTATGTATATATGTGTATGTATATCTATCTGTCTATCTATCTCTTTCTCTCTCTCTCTCTTATATATATATATATAGAGAGAGAGAGAGAGAGAGAAAGAGAGAAATTTTATATCTATATATAATCTATACATTCAATATTTTATATCTATATCTATGTGATATTTCCCAGCAGTCGTGGGGAAGCTTGGTATCAAAGTTCAGGCATTGATTTTGCAGAGGGGGTAAGGCGAAATTCAAATGACGAGACAAGATGATTTAGCTTTTAATTGCACATTTTTGTTTAATCCAACTAGCAGATCATTTTCCTTTTAGATGAAAACTCTCTAAATTACATATCCATAGTGATTTTAACTAAGTATGATTGAATTTAAACTTTTTGCCTCATCACTGTTTCTAACAAAGGAAAGAAAGATGGACAGAGCAGCGCAGAGTCTTGTAGCAGCGATATTAGGAAGCAGTCTGACTAAAAAATGGCGCGTACTCAATATTTATAGTAGCGGTTACGTAATAATAGGCTAGCATATTCTAGAACAGTGTTTCTTAATCTTTCTAGCAAGTCGCACCCGATTGAATCTGAAAATATATCTCCGCACCCCATTGAAAAATGTGTTTTAATTTTTTTAGTCTAGAAAAATACATTTTTTACGAAACTTATTGTTTATTGGAAAACATTGTACATTTTATATAAATACAAAACAACATTATTTTTATTAATGAATAGTCTTTTGTTGTTTGTTCATTATTATACTGGCGAAGCGAGGTTCCTTTTTTGAAAGACATACACGTAAGTCATCACTTGCATTTAAGCGATTTCTCGCTTTAGTTTTTATATGCAAAAGCGATGAAAATCCCGTTTCTCACAAGTAGGTGGTAGCAAAGGGTAAGAGTAACTGCAGTGCTCCGTTCGCCAACTCTGGATAACATTGTAACTGTGAACACCAGAATTGTTGCAATTCTAATTGTTCGAATTCCATTTGAACATGTCCACTTGCTCGCATTTCAATAAGTTGATCTTTTTTCAGATCACTATCATCCTTCAAATTTAAGTCAAATAGAAAAGGATCCAGTATCTATCTCTGAGTTTTGGTAATATTTCCGATAGAAAAATATCCATTGAATGATTCGCTCAATCGTCTCATATGTATTACAATGGTCGGGTATAATTGTATTCTTTTAATTTTTCACAATAACAGAATCAAGCAAAGGGAAAGTTTGCAAAATTCCCCTTTTCTACTCGACGTATCCAAATTTCTAATTTTGCGATAAATGAAGATAATTTTTCACTAGATATTATTATATTTATACCAAATCCTTGCATTGACAGATTCAATTTATTTAAATGGCTAAATATGTCTGCTAAGTAGGCCAGCCTCAGCATTGACCCATTACTCTCAAAATCTTTTACTAATAACAGTTTTGACTAGTCAGTAATTGAATAATTTCCTCAAGCAATTCAAAAACTCTGTTAAGCACGCGACCCTTAAATAACCATCGTATTTTGGTGTGATATACGAGCACGGTATGATCAGCACCGATTTCTTCGCAAAATGCACGAAAAATGCGATGATTAAACGCTCGCCCTCGGATGTATTTTATTACATTTACTGCTGTAGTTAGATGTTGTTTTAAACATTCTGGCAATGCTTTCGACGCAAGTGCATGACGATAAAACATGCAATGCGTTATTATAACTTCCGGTAATTCTCTTTTCATGTGGGAAAAAAATCCTGAATTTTTGCCTAACATTGCTGGGGATTCATTAGTGCATATTGAGCCAATCACATACATTGGTATTTGATATTTAGTAAAAAAATCTTTGATGGCCTTCAGTGGCTCACAAAATAAAAATTCTTCTATCACCTCTTTTTCCTTCACATACCTGACAAATACCAAACGTTGGCTACAATTATCAACATCAGTTGACTCATCCAGTTGCATGCTTATTTTTAGTGGACTGATTTTTATGCCTTCAATGACTTGCATTAAAATATCTTCACTGAGATCTTGTATTCGCGATCGTATATCATTCGATAATAGAATGTGTTAGATTTTTTTATGTGCTTCCGAATCTAAAACTGTTTTAGCAATAATTAAAGCAGAAGGTTTAATCAATTCTTCAGCAATCGTGTGAGTTTTTTTTTTTTTTTTTTTTCCGGCACATAAATATGCCACTTGATATGACGACGCTTCTAATAAAGGTTTTTGAATAGCTGGTCCGCACAATTTTAGGATAGTTACACTGGTATCAAACCGAGCCTTCTTTGACTTCAAGCTGTTCATGCTATGCGCTTTTTCGCCACCATGCAGATTGTTGAAATGCTCTAATAACTTTGATGGTTTGAGATTGTTGTTTGAAAATATCTTGAAACACAAGATGCATTGCGGTCGTTGCGTGCTATCTTTTTCTGTTGTGCAGGTAAATCCATAACCGGCATACTTATCGTTCCATTGTCGTTTTTTTTTTTTTTTTTTTTTTTTTTTTTTTGACATAGTGGGGTTCCCTATAATCGATTTAATTATTTAGAATAATGTTCTTACGTTCCCTACTAAAAATGCCCCATAGAAACCAGTAAAACTTTTTATGGGTACCCATAAGATTTTATGGTTTTTTATTGACTTTTACTGGTTTCTGTTGGTCTCTGTGGGTTTTTTTTACTGGTTTCAAAATGACCCATAGAAACCAGTAAAACTTTCTACTGGTACCTTAGAATTTTTGATGGTCTCTATTGACTTTTACTGGTTTCTATTGATCTCTGTGGGTTTTTCTTTACTGGTAATCAATTGATACCCATACAACCAACATTCAGTGGCAGAACTTTGTACTGGTTTGTATAGGTTTATATTGACTTTTACTGGTTTTCTTACTGGTATCAATATAATAATAAATCTTCTGTTGGTTTATATGGGTTTGTGCTATTTTTTTTATCTGACGTTAATATACTTCTTATAAACAATAAAATAATAAAATTAACAGAATGAAAATATGATCTCTTTAAGACCACCAGAGTAACCTGTAAACGCAGGTGGTCGTTTTAGAGAGGGTTTTTACTAAATATGCTATTTTTTTTATTTAAATTTTTTTTCGGAAACAATAACAGTAATCATATACACCACACACAACGAGGTCTCTCCAAGGCGACCAGCCGCAAATAAAAATTCATCTTTGCAAGTGGTCGCCTTAGAGGGGTGATGCTCAATACCAAGATACTCACGTTCTCAGAAATACGTTTATCTTTTAGAGGTGGTCGTCTTAGGACATTGCATCTACGGAATGAATCTCTCTAAGGCGACCAGACACACTTGCAGAATTTTCTTTGTGAATGGTCGCCTTATAGAGGGAATATTCAATACCAAAGTATACTTATGTTTTCAGAAATACTGGTTTCTTTCAGAGGCGGTCGTCTTAGGGAGGGTGGTTTTTGCTACGAGTTGGTTCTCCGAATACACACACATAAGCACTTAACATTTCTGATATTACAAATAAACACCACGGTATCAAATAACATCTCTTTAACGCGAACAAGTTCATTCACAATCGCAAAACTTTTCTCCCTGTTAACGCTGACGTGAGGAAAAAAATTCCCCCTCCCTCCATCTCCTCCCCCACTCTCAGAAGTTTCCCAAAACAAGCAATATGGCGCCCGCTTCTAGTTATTGTTGTTGTGTGATGGTGGTGTTATTTTCTTCGTGGTTGTAGTAATGCAATATATTATTTACTATGATTTACTGTATTACAAATTTTACTATGTTTTACTGTTTAGAAATTAGTAATAAATAATAAATACCAGCACTGACTATGAATATACCACTAAAGCCATGCACGTGTAATCGTGTCTAATGTTTGAGAGAACGTTACTGATAACTGACTATTTGTGAAATGGAGTTTCTGAGCGTGAAATTGATTTTCCATCTTTACTTTTATCCTGAAAAACAATGTGCTTAAAGACTGAAAAGTGATAATTTCAGGCTTGATAATTTGTTTCAGTGTGCAGATGCAGAAATGTAGTTTTTGCATTCTACTGAAACTGTATTTCGGAAAATTTATTTTTTTGATTACAGTTTAGAAATACTTTTTTAAAGCTTGTTCATGTAGATGCTTTATCATTTGAATATTATGTACTAATAAATTTGAGCATACACTTAAAAATGATCTTGCATGATTCAATTTTGAATTTTTCGACTAATGTGATGTGGCCGAGCAAAAAGAATGTTTTTTTATGTTTTAAAAAATGTACTAATTATAGTTCGCGAGAAAAAAAGGTAAGTTTTATTAATGAAATAAACATTGAAGTATTTAATGTGTTTATTACTTATTGAATGGGGTAGACAAGACATACAAGCTTAAGGAATCTTTTTTCCACTACTAAAATTATGTGAAAATTTAGATGATCATAGTAGCTTACATTGTTTTTTTCTTTTTGGTCTATTTTTCTTTACAAGTATGAGACTAGAACCACATTTTTTTTACATTAAATATTTTGTGCTATTTGTTAAAACATATAATCATTTTTATGCATACTTTAATTTTCATTATTATTAGTTTGATGAAGAAAATTTCAAATGTGTTTTTCATAAATTGCTTTTGAAATAGAAATAGCTTTGTGAATAAGATTTATGTAATATTAAATGTACTAGTCTTGGGAGTATAAAAAGTGAATTATTTATTTGAGAAAAATTACATTTAGTTGAAACCTCATATAGTGGTTATTTTCTTAAATGACCACCTCTGATAATGGCATATTTGTCAGGACAATAATTAAACAACATGGACTTAAAAAATCACTTCATAGTTTTGTCAGGCTATACAGGAAACTCGCATTATCTTGAATTGTGGAGATTGATTGTTTTAGGAAAGTTTTGTTGTATAATCAATTGACTTAATATATTATTGTGTAGTAATTTTTACGTGGGTATGAATTTTTCAGAAGTAATTGAAAGTTTTTACGAGACATTTAAAACCAAAGCTTTTCAGATCATGAGTCTTATAAGGGCACTGTTATAGCATTCATTGCTTTCAAATATAGTTATAGTAATATTTAAACATTATTTTCGGAATCACTTCCACAGGGAATCCGGTTGTTCTCTGCGGATGAAAACCCATATAAATAAATCTTCTGTACAGCCTTATACAAATGCAGTTAATATTACTGTCATTACAATTAAGCGAATATAGCCACATTTGTTTACAAAAAGTTATTATTGCTAAATACTGCACTATATCAATTTCATTTAGCATTGTAATTTCAGAAAATGCTTAGCATGAGGTATTTTTATATTATATAATCTACTGTCAAAAACAATAGCTACCTTTTCAGTACTTTAAATTTTACGTTTGAGAATTTTTATGGTTCAAAATAATATTTCTATACATTATTTCAAGTATTCTTTCTACAATAGAAATCTAAATAACTTGCACCTAAAACACTGACTCAATTATTCCAATAATGCATCGCTTTAATTAAATTTATGTTACCTTGAGATGATATATGAAAAACCTTGTGTAATAATAAATATTAATATATATAGTAAATAGTATTTTTATATTTTTTCGGGTAAAGTGCAGAATCGCCCACTATTTATTTGGCACTTGTACAAAAGTAAAAGGAATTGGATTTTTGTCAATTTTCTTTTGACTTTTAAAAGTTTAAAATAGGTTGATGTGTACATGAATAAAGTCAAAGGAGTGCACAATGGCATTTTTGTGCAATTCTGAGATGTTTTTTTAAGTGAAAATAGGTCGATGTGTACGTACCGAGTATGTGCAATTCTTAAAAACACGCTAAGCAGTGGGCGATTCTACACTTTCCCCATTTTTCTGTAGGAATTTAGTTTCATTAAATTAGTTATTTAGTATAATTATGTGTATATGAGTATATTCATACTTATTCACATAGATGGAATTTTTACAGTACGAAAGTTTATCTTTTTTACATCAAGAACTACATATACTATAAATACCCATTATGTTATAGATTTTATTTATATAAAATCTGTGGAAGTTTTATAGCACTAAAAGTGAGATACGGAATAAAACATTATACGCTAAGAGATATTTTCTTAATTCCCGAACTGTTCGTTGAGAATTGGTATTTGTTGAAACTTGTAAATTTTTTAAAATTCATTTTGTTACAATATAATTTATTGTATTTTGGGTACTATTAAGTTTATTATATGTTATCTTCATGTTTCATTTATCTTTTGAGAGATACAGGTAACGTTCAAAGTATTGTAATAAGGGGTCGACACAGTGTTTGTATATTATTATTTCTTCACTACATTATATTCTTGGATTCATCCTTTCTTCCACGCAAAACATCTATGTGTATGCATGTCATAATAACTGCAGGGTGTTTACTCATTGGTAAGCGAGCTTTAAGGGGATAGCAAGTATGATAAATTTGAACTCTATGTTAAGTTTCTAATTTGCAAGTCCCGTTACTTCCTTTTTGCTTGCTTGTTAATAGTGTTTCTCTTCCTGAAAATTAGGGTTTCTTCTAGTTTTGTTTTTAAATTTGGTTTAGTGCACTGTAGGTAACTTAAAAGTTTAAGCAGATGCTAGAAAATAACCAGCCCTTGGCAATACATTTCTCATTAGGGTATCAAACTATTGAAACAAGCTGATGTGATTAAATACCAATTGTTTTAATTTCCAAATTAAAGAACTGAAATACAAATATATGCAGTGAGATACTACAGTACTATATGTATATATTTATAATGAAATCAGTAATATGTATATACATTTAAAGTAATGATTCGCAACCATCAAATGAAATGATATGTATATATATGTAATAGATTCTGTAGTCGAATACAAGCAGCTGAATCCGTAATGAACAGCAAGAATTTTGATGGCTTAGAGATGTTGAAACTCCAATCCACAATGAATAAGAAATTTGGCAGTCGAGGTAGATTTAATTCAACTTTTCTTTCAGCAAAATATGTTGCAGCCACAAACAAGTTGGCACATTATTTATGCCTATTCCAAAAATTAACATTTTGATAAATGTTGTAGTAAGAAAACAAGGAGCAGACAGACTGCAATCCAGCTAATACAAAGCATAAAAAAGCAAATGCGTTACGTTAAGGGTGAAATCTTAATTCAGACCGAGTTAATTTTGGTTCTTGATGCATTTTTACTCGTCTTTGATAGTTAATACTGTAAAATTACTATTGGCTGTTTGAGTTTTAGTTTCTTTTACAACATCAAATTATGTAAGAATCATATGACATGAATTAATCTCCAAATGATGCAGTGCAGAAAGATTACTGTTTTTAGAATAGAGAAGGAAATTATTTTACGCTGCTAATTTAATCTTTTGCATATTCCTTATTTTTCTTACATATATATATATATGTACATACATCATTCGATTCATCTATTCATTTTATTTTCAGAATTATATAAAGGTAGTTTAAAATTTTGTAAAGAGAATTTATACAAATATTTTGTAATATGTTCTCCGCAATTTAGTTCTGTACATTTCATCAGTGCTAATTATGTACTTCTGCTGGTTTATGTTTTTATGGAAATTTGATTTACAGTTCTATTTTTGTGTATTGTTTTTTATAGGGATTCTGTATATGGATACCCGTTCTATGTACGATTCTATGTATGGATACTCCACTATGGTATAATGCTATTGGTTCTGTTTATGGGTTTTGTGCAGCGATTTTTCCAAGAGGTACCTTTATTGGTCTGTGGATTTTTGTGTAGTGGTTTTTACAGGATTTGGCGTATGGGTGCCTGTATAGGTGTACATGCTTTTGTTTACTGGTTTTTACAAGGCATAGACCTACGGAAGATCCATTTTTTTAATGGAAATTTGGCCAATGGATATGCATATAAAATTTTGATTTTTGGCTATGGGTTTTTACTGGGATTTTGTTTATAGTGCCTACAGTTCTACAGAGATTTGGCCTACTCGCAACCGTACGGGTATCCGTTTACAGGTTTTTTACGGGTATTTTGCCTACAGGTACCTATACAGCTGTGCAGGTTTCTTTCTATGGGTTTTTACGGGTATTCGGCCTATGGGTACCCGTACAAACGTACAGGTTTCTTTTTATGGGTTTTTACGGATATTTGGCCTACGGGTACCCGTACAACCATACGGGTTTCTTTCTATGGGTTTTTACGGGGATTTGGCTTAAGGGTACCCATACAACCGTACGGGTTTCTTTCTATGGGTTTTTATGGGGATTTGGCCTACGGGTACCCGTACAGTTGTATGGGTTTCTGTCTGTGGGTTTTTACGGGGATTTGGCCTACGGGTACCCACAGAGCTGTACGGGTACCCGTAGGCCAATTCCCCGTAAAAAAATTTTATGGGTTTCTACGGGGGCATTTTTAGCAGGGTTGTAATATCACTGAATCCTATTCGGCTTGAACGGGGCAATTAAGAACGTATTAGTCTCAAGAGGTTTCTGGACAAGTCATAATACACAATACACATGTCGCAGACACAATAGTTGACTCAACCTAACACAGGCGCAGTAGATGCAGATACAAATCTGTGATCCGTAGATTCCATTGGAGTAGCACATATTGAACTCAGTGCATGCGCAGGCTGGGATAACGTTCTCCGCTTATATTCCCACAAAGTTTTTTTCTTTTCTCCGTCACCTAGCTGCCTGTTCGCGTTCGTTTGTAGCGTTTCATGCCTTTTCGTAGCGTAGTGTATACGCCCATCAGCACCAGCTCTTTCCTGTCTTTGCCGCTAAGTGAGCTAGGTGCTACCAATTTTTATGAGCTTCAATATTGGGAACACTATTGCAGATTTCAAATATTTTATTATAAGAAATTTAATAAATGATATTTAATAATTTTTATAATTAGGTAGGGGCTTCTCCCGCACCCCCAAAAATACATTCCCGCACCCCCGGTTAAGAACCACTGTTCTAAAAGGTACTGGTCTAAGGGTAAGATCCCAAATTGCGAAAAGTTAATTGGAGATCGCGTGTTTGCGTAGAGCAAAGCCATTGCATTTTTTTTATATTTTACATCTTTTTAAGGAATCATAATGTAAAACAATTATTGACTACAGCAAATAGGCCCCAAACTAACGGTAAAATTGAACGTGTTAATCAAACAATTCTAACAAGATTAAAATATAAGCTAAATTCTTATCAAGGTAATATTGCGTGGAGAAAATTATTACCTCAAGTAACTGAAGAATATAATAACACCCCTCATTCTGTAACAAAATTCCCACCTTCATACTTAATGTATGGAAAATTACCTTATGTTTTCTTAATTC